GCAGGAGGTCCGAGGCGTCCTCTGGTAATGAATCTCACCGTGGTCCCAGCTACCGTCCCTGCTGCTCAGAGGAGCCGCCGTGCCGCTGCCAGGCTCCCCGCGGAGGAGTGCTGCTGTGCGGCGGAGACTGCCTCGACCCACCGGATGAGCACAGGCTGAGGGACGGGCTGAGGTCCCCGGTCACATAGCCCGGATCCAGGCTCAGGGTCTCCAGGTTCTTCACCAAAACACTGCTGGACATGATGTAGATTTGTTTTACGCACAGTGGAGTAAAACGCTTTCCATGAAGTCCAAGTTTCCCTGGAAGAAGTTCAACTGCCCAGATCAGACAGCTGTACCACAACTGACCAACACATGAAGAGGAGAGAGAACTGACCAAAACATGAAGAGGGGAGAGAACTGACCAAAACATGAAGAGGGGAGAGAACTGACCAAAACATGAAGCGGGGAGAGAACTGTTTTACGCACGAACCAATCACATCCAGACTCCATAATAATAACACAGGTGAGTTTACCGATAGCGCCTCCCTGTGGCCAAACTAATGATTACAGAACTGGGTAAAAAAGCTTTTAAATATGCTGCCCCATTTGCTTGGAATAATGTACAGAAGGAGCTGAAACTGTCAGATGTGATCACTTTGGGGGAATTCAAGCCCATCTTGAAGGACAGAGAACAAGAATCCATTGGTCGATGGGATTGCTCGTATATCCCATAATTGAAGTCGTTTTAAATTGTGCCAGTTTTTAATGATTGGTTAATGTGTCATTTAATTTGTGTTTTACGACCACTGTATTCGTCTGCCTGTATTGTTGTATCTGTTGTAACTTTGTTCATGCTAACCTTCTTGGCCTGGTCGCTCTTGGAAAATAGATTTTAATCTCAATGAGACTTATTAGTTAAATAAAGGATATATATTACAACAAAAACCGAGGCTGAGTAGCATTTACTGCTGTTTGTTATGGGTAACAAAATGAAGATGAAAACACGTCATACCATTTGAAGCACACTTAATTTAAGTATAAAGATGACTTCTCCAAATAAATGCTGTTCCTTGAGTGTGGCTATTAATATCATATTCATTTATTTAAATGGGAAATCAGGAACTTGGTTTTAAAAATGAAATGAAGTCCAATTGTTAACTTCTCTACTAATCCTATCAGTCACATTATAACATTGATTGATTGCTGCAGATACGTTTTCTGTTAAACCACTTGTTTGTACTTGCTTGAATATAATGTTGAGTGGTTTATTTATACCAAATAATCACATTTGAAACGTTGTTCCTAAGTGTTGTGTGTCAAAATCTGAACATAGGAAGTAAATACATCTGTTAAATAAATGTAGTGGAGTAAAAAGTACCAAATTGTCTTCCAAAATGTTGTTGAGTATAGAAGTATAATGAAGTATAAAATGAAAATACTTGGGTGAAGTACACGTTTCCAAATGTGTACTTAAGTACAGTACAGATCCAGATCAAATCAAACAGCTTTTTTCAGCACACACAGAAAAACACACAAAAACTCAAGAATGATAAAAGTTGTATTGTTTCAGCTCCAGGATTTCATCACTTTCTTCAAACTCCTGAAGGTGCTGTAAGTTTAAATATACAACACATCTAAAGCCAAGAACATTCAATGAACACTGTGTTTATCCTCCACATCCTGACATGAAGTGCTTACAAATGTCATCCTTCTATAATTATTACATTTCAATTGTAAACTGCAAATTGGTTCAATGATGGCTTCTTTGATGCACATGTTTATACCAGATGGACTTTAAATACAGTCAAATGTCATAAAAAGCCAGAACATATTCACATAATTCAAAAACAATGGTATTCAATTGCATGACTTTGAATATTTCCAATCCAATTAGTTGTCATTTGGAGGATTTCTACATGTTCAAAACTCTTTTTACAACATTTCTACTTTTCAAGACTATGTCTCGTAGTCATGCTTAAACCTAAAACGACCACAAGATGTCGACATTTCACTATTTTCTAAGCACAGAGCTGAAGAAAAGAGAACACTGCTTCTAGCTTCTCTACAATACTGTACAAACACAATGCTAATCTGACTCACATTCTCTGTGCAGCTCAAAACACAAAAAGTCTATTTTCAACCGTTAACGGAGCTCAGCAAATATTCCAGTTCTTGAAAATCGTTTAGCAAAAGAGCGGTGCATTTACAAAGAAGATAAAACAATAAATTACTGAGCTAAAATGAAACACTAAAACTAGCTCAATAGAGAGGTGCAGGAATGAGTCCTTAGACCAAACAATTACTCGGCATGTTATCCCTTCCTGTTCCCTGGTCTGGAAGTCAATGGTTTTCGGACCATATCAAGTTTTTCAAGTACATACTCTACCAAGAGTTGAAATACAGTATTTCCAAAGTCTAGTTTGAACGGCCATTTGGAATTCTGAAAGGGTTAGAAATGGATTCAACATCTTAAAACAAAAAAAACACTCTTATATATTCTAAATTGGCCAAGCAGTTGTTGTGAAATATTGTCCATATAGCCTATAATGCTAATCATCCCCAATTTACTGCAACCTATGCTAACTACGCAAATCGTAAATTAGCATCTAACAGTTTCCTATTGCTGGTGACCATTAAAACATAAAACTTTGGGGTCCCAACATTTGCAGTTTGACATTGCTGACAACAAACAAGTGTCTAAATGAGACGCCTACGTCATGTGACCGTGTTGTAGTTCCTTTATAGTCCTACATTAGCGTGTTACTTCAAAAATCATAAATTCATGTTAATATGTGGAGATTATCCTGCTGAACAAAACGTGTAAAATGCGTAAACGTTGAGATTATTTTCTCCAATAACCCTAATTGGAAAAATCCCATTGTTTTTTTTTGGAGGGAACCAGGGTGTGTGATGCTGCCTTCAGGGTCCTACTTCAAAAATAGGACATTCCTGAACCACTCTATTGGTTTCAATGTGTACAATCATGACAGTGAGCCAGCTCACCATCTCAGAGGTTTCAGTCCAACTCCTAAAAAGTAGCTTTTTGTCCTCGTGTTAAATTCCTCCGTTGTTGTGCAGCGTTCAAACATCAACAACGTCCACAGAAGAACTGAAGCCGATCCAAAGAAGGCATCAAGACATTAGTACAAAAAATAAAACTGTTACTCTGCTAGCAAACATTTTACAAAGGCCGACTGAGAAACACTTTTGTTCTCTCACGGAAAACGTTACAAAACTACAAAAAAGTAAATGTTATTTTAAAGGGTGATGCCTCTAAGATGTCCGTATGCTTCGTTATAAAACTCCATCAAAGAGACTTTCGGGTATTTCAGAACTGGAAACATTTCCAAGTGTCTATGTAGCTGTGTCTCCTCTTCGTTATAAGAGGTTTAGAGAAGTTGGCACAAGTTATCAAAATGCAAATAAAATAATAGTGAGAGGTGTGATTTAAAAAGGATTCAATTGTGAAATTGGAAAAATATGAGAATGAAGAAAGGTGATTGAAGATGAGAAATGATTGTATATGTATAATTGTAAATGTATGTAGGAATAACTTGCATAATGATTTAAAGGACAATCATTGATCAAGTAAGGGGTGGGAATTAATAAGCATTTGCTTCCTCCTGCTCCCTTTCGGACACATATGATTTATTATTATTATTAATATGAAGACTTTTTTTTGTTTTTTTTGTTGAATATACAAATATTACCATGAATGTGGATAAATACTGTATTATAACGATACGGTATTCTGTTTTTACATTTGTTATTTTTTATTTTTTAATCTGTTCGAAATAAAGACGAAATGGAAAAAAATTAAATGAAATACTTTACTTTGTGTTAGTTAAGTAATTAAATACTTAATTATTTTCAAATCAATTTACACTATTATCAATATGTTTGCAATTGAACACATTCATCCCGTTGGCACTATGATGACATTTGGAATGAAATATGATACTGCAATATAAATAAGATTCAGGATTTGGAGGGAATGATTATTTCCCTTCATAATAGCCTATAATAAAATGGTCATGGTTGGGATTTATCTTGTATGGATTTGCACCAAACAAATATTAATTTCTTAAGACTGTGGAATAGTTTCTGCAGCACCGTAACACACTTATTACAGGGAGGCATGTGGCGCAGTGGACTAGTGCTTTGGTGTTCGGATCAGGGGGGTACAGGTTCGAACCCCACTACACGGCCCGTCCACACGGGCGTTGAAGCGTTGAAGCTTCAACGTTTCTGCCCGTTCACTTTGAATGGGGTGACGTCACACTTCGCCGAACAGCATTGTGGGAGCGTCGCTACGCGTTGCTCGCTGCAAAAGTTGAGCAATGTGACGGAGCGTCCACACAGCAGCGTGCGTTGACGCTTGGAGGTGGGCGTATCTGAAGCTTGGGGATTTTTTGCGAGCAAGGCGACCAACAACCAATCACATGAATCTCCCGCCCCCGACATACAAAGCAATAGCAATGTTAAAACGAAGTAAACTGGATATAAAATCCCCAAACAGGCGAAACCCTACCAGTTTCACCCACTGTCTCTGCCACCTCCCTCCATGCCTCGCTCCTCCGGTTTGTATCTCGGTAGATCAACAGAGACTGATCATACAGCACCGGGTGATTCACTACCGCTATAAGGAATTTTCCCTCCATTTTTTTGAATATGAGGAAATGACCTGCGTAGTCTCTCCCAGCATACACGCGGTTTGATTGGCTAGCGCTTGTACTGGCAGATTTGCATAAACGGGATTTCATTGGCTGACGCCTCCGTCGAGGCGTCAAAAGTTGAACATTGCTCAACTTTTGACGCCAGCTACGCCAGCAACGCTCCACGTCGCTTCCCACGATGCAGTTCGGCTAAAAGTGATGTCACCCCATTCAAAGTGAATGGGCAGAAGCGTTGGAAGCTTCAACGCACGCCGCTGTGTGGACGGGCCGTTAAACTTTTGAAGCTTCGACGGAAGCGTCAGCCAATTAAATCATATGCCAGTACAAGCTCTAGCGAATGAAACCGCGTGCTTGTGTGTCCGGGGCGGGAGATTCATGTGATTGGTTGTTGGTCGAGTTTCAGACACGCCCGCCGGCAAGCTTCAACACACGTCGCTGTGTGGACGGGCCGTCAGCATGTCGTTGTGTCCCTGAGACACTTCACCCCAAAGTGCTCCTGTGGGGATATTGTCCACAGTATTGAGTATGTAGGTCGCTTTGGATAAAAGCGTCTAACAAGTAACACGTACTGTAATGACTAAAATCAGATTTTTTTGCCAAGTATTCTGTCTTTAACAAGAGTTGCGCCTCCTCGCTCTAATTGACTCTTATTTACATTTTGATGAGATATATGATCATGGTCAGTATTTCATCTACATAAAGTTGGAAGACAGTTTAAAAACACAATGGCCACATTTCAATCCCAATTATATCAAGCGCCAAAAAACACCAACATCCTACACTTCCCATAATGCAACACAACAGAATTTCTCATAGTCCCTCCCTTCTTGGATAACATCCCACATATTTTGGACTTCACACCCTCAGGTTGCAGATTTACTCGTGAAGATTTAAATTAAGTAGGATATGATAAGCAACATTTGACAAACTGTCACTATTATATATTATATTATAAACACTTGAATGGAGGAAATATTCTTCATCATTACGTTTTTTAGAAAGTTACAGAAAGTTAGTTGTTTACCTTGTCTCTAAAAAGATAACCAAAATGATTATTGTTCCAGAAACTGATGACACATTTTTAAGTGATTATTGCTCGATAATATTTCTATAGTTCTTCGCCAAAATTCTCATGTCATCCATCCACCAAAGTGCTTCATCTGTACCTTTACAGAACATTTAATACCAAACGATTTGTGCAGATAATCGAATAAATCGCTGCTACTTTCAAGGAATATTCAGAGCCTTCATTTCCTCGGACGCTTCCCAGGAAAATCTACAAATCATATCATCAAAAATAATTACTGATCCTGAAACTGATGACATATTTTAAGCAATTATTGCTTCACATTGATAATCTGACAATACTTCTGTAGTGTCTCACCAACATATTACTGTAAACCTCCAAAGTGCCTGAATCTGCAGGTCATTTAACGGAGCTGATGCTTTCAATCACTGATCATTTCAGATCGAATGAAATATCCGCAGCCTAAGTTTCTACCAATGCTTCCTTGGGAAACTGGGACATATATGACCAAAATGATTGTATGTCCTGAAAACATGACATATTTTAAGCATATTATTGCTCCACAATGATAATCTGACTATACTGCTGTAGTTCTGGAACATTTAAACGGAGCTGATCCGTGCTTTACATTTTCATGAAATATCCGCAGCCTAAATTTCTTCCAATGCTTCCTTGGAAAATTGAGAAATATATAACCAATGATAATCTGACTATACTTCTGTAGTTCTGCATCAACATTATGTATGTAAACCAAACTGGAACATTTAACGGAGCCGCTTCGTGATCAGAGCTGATTTCATGAAACATCCTCCGCCTGAGTTTCCTCTGACGCTTCCTTTGAGTCCTGGTTCTGGTTCTGGTTCCTGTTGCCGGGCAGATTGGAGGCCTGCTCCAGCAGCTGCTCCAGGTACCGGTCCTCCGCCCTCTCCTCTTCCGCAGACAGACTCTGCGGGGGGGCGAGGTGCATCACGGGGGCCGAGAGGGTCCGCGGGATCCTGCAGGAGCGAGGGGCCGCGAGAGAGGAGTCGTCTGTGGAGGAAGGGGAGCATTGATCTGTGTTTTTATCTGGGGTTTCCTCCGGGGGCCGGTAAGGCGGAGGGCCCGTCAGCGGGGAGCCGTCGGGGGGGAGCTGGCTGTGGATGATGACCCTGGACTCCTCCTCCTGCTCAGGGTCCAGGTCCCGGGGGTCCTTGGAGGGGCTCTGGTCAGGGGAGTCGATGATGTTCAGGCTGAGGCCGGCTGCGGAGGTCTTCCCTCTTGGGGGGGGCAGCTCGAGACCCAGAGGCAGACGGGGACGCTCCTCTGGCTTTCCTGAAAAACAAAACCGGTGCATTTAAGTCAGTGGTTCTCCAACTTCTTGTGTCGGGCCCCCTTTGGAGGAAAATCCTCATCATGTGCATTACACAGCTGTGTCCTCATAGGTTTCTCAGTGTCACTACACGACACAACAGTTTAGTGTTTCTGCCGGTCATGCCGACGCAAAGCATTTTGTTGTTGTTGTCATAACAATTGTTCCTCCAGGGGCCTGTACTATGAAGCTGGTTCAACCTAACCTGGATATGTTTGAGTTAGCCGGTTGGCCTAATCCAAAACATACGCGCTCTCGCTAAACTGTACTACGTTTTAATATTAGACATATGAAGAAGTTAAACTTTAAACATCCATGACTTAAACACTTTATCCAGGATCAAAGCCACAGAGCTGCACCTGCAAGGTGAATACAGCTGGTAACAGAACAAGTGTTTGAATGCGTACATTAACAGGTTTATGATATCACTGCCCCGTCTAAAACACGATCTGACTTTAATTACATTTGTCTCGAGTGTTTCGTCAACTTAATGTGTTGCTTAAAATAATACTTCTGCATACAGTATGTGACACTGTGAGTGTTGCACGGCCAGATACGGCTCAGCTGACTCAGATAAGGAGATATATGATACATTATGAAGTGATATGCCGCGGACTGTACTTAATGTTACTCTGATCCGGTTACTTATGTTGTGGCAGATATTTAAGTAAGCTTTCTTAACGCTAATGTTATAATAGTCAGCAGGGCCGCCCCTGGACAACTTGGGGCCCCAAGCGACATTGTGAGATGAGGCCCCCCCCCAACCGACAGGAGTGAACACATTTTTTTGGAAACAAAGTAGACTACTTTGCAAATATAGTTCCTGTTTATTATTATTATTATCAACACAGTTACTTTTTTATACAGTGAGGTAAATGGTAAATGTGCATGTATGTCGTTCAGTATGCGTTTACAGGTGAATACGTCTGCATTTCCTGCCAAATACTAGCCTCAAAAAGATTAAAATATAATTAATGCAAATAAACTACTTCTACTAATAATAATCATAATCAATTAAATAATATAAATACCATATGGTTTTATTATAATATAGTTGTAATATAGTCAAGACAAAACTTGACAAAGCTTATTACATGCTCAAAAACTGACATTTCTTAAATCTGTATTGTAGTTCCCTCTGTCAGCAATGTATCAACAACTACACACACATTTATATCAGTATTGCTCTGTGTTGTGGTTGACATGATGATGACTGTTAGGAGTTAAGGGGAGAGGCTGAGCATCACCATGAAATGTGCAAATTGACATAAAAATGAATAAAAGGGGGAAAAATGCTCCATGTTTTTTAGGCTGTAAACTTTAACTGTTATGTAAGCCAACTAGACAGACAGTTTATCACTCTTCCTCCTGTACGTTAGCAGATAAAAGGCATCACATACTTGAATGAATGTTAAATAAAGAATGCTGGAAATAACTGCATCTCCATTAGCCTGTATGCTATGCAGAGACTGCCTTCTTCATGTCGTGAATTGCAGCTGATGTTTTTTGGCAATTGGCAAAAGTTTGACATTTGACTTATACAACATTCACAAGTTGTACATTTGACTCATACAATCAGCGGGGGGTGCACGGAGAACCGCGCACAGCAGCTGAGGCCCTTTGGGCGGGGCCCCCTGCGCAAGGCGGGGCCCCATGCAGCTTGCGTGATTGGCCTGTAGGGAGGGGCGGCCCTGATAGTCAGATTGCTCTGAAGATGGGAGGTGATATTCTATTAATGTTCACGTTCACACAGTCTGTGATTTTTGCCGGCCGTCTTTCCTGCGACGGCAGCTTTTCTGTATTTCCTTTCTCCTGTAATATGACTTGATCACTTTAAACTCCGCACACTGAGCTCTGATTGGTCAGCAGGCAGTGATTTCACTGAGTTGAGCTCTTAGCCTGCAAACTAACCTGGTCCCGACCAGGTTAGCCACATAGCATAAGTTACCATGGAGATCTAACCCGCTAAAAAGAGAACCAGCTTCGTAGGACCGGAAACCCATAATTTTCCCTGAAGTTAGCCGGCTGAGCGAAAATCCTGCTTCGTAGTATACCCCCCAGGTCTCTCGCGCCCCCCCCCCCCTGTCATGCCTCTGCGCCCCCCACTTTGAGAAACACTGATTTAAGTTAATGTTAGTGATTATAATTGACTCAACCCAGAAAGGGAAACAACTAGATTCCCCCAAGCATTTAATTAGCATAACATATTATGTATATAAAATATATTTTTTGTTCTATTTTTTTACAAAAACACCTGTGATATTTCAAAAAAACTGCGAACTGGGTTCAAATTCTGAAAGCAGATGGTTAAGATATTTAATTATGTGAAGCATAATGTAATATTATAATATTAATATATTATATATGTTTATATAAGGTAGAGATGTTGTCCTCTGAAAAGGTAAAGAAGTCATTACTTTTAAAAATATCCTCAAATAATTATGTTTTTATCTATGAGTGTGTATTTAGGTTTAAGCCATGCAACACACTCAGGGACTTTCAGTGAGTGTGTAGGTGTGTGTGGGTGTGTGTGTATATGTGTGTAGGTGTGTGTAGATGTGTGTAGATGTGTGTAGATGTGTGAAGATGTGTGTAGATGTGTGTAGATGTGTGTAGATGTGTGTAGATGTGTGTAGATGTGTGTATATGTGTGTAGATGTGTGTAGATGTGTGTAGATGTGTGTGTAGGTGTGTGAAGGTGTGTGTAGGTGTGTGAAGGGGTGTGTAGGTGTGTGTAGGTGTGTCAAGGTGTGTGTAGGTGTGCGTAGATGTGTGTAGATGTGTTTAAAGGTGTGTGAAGGTGTGTGTAGGTGTGCGTAGATGTGTGTAGATGTGTTTAAAGGTGTGTGAAAGTGTGTGTAGGTGTGTGTAGAGGTGTGTGTAGATGTACCTGGAGGAGAAAGGTCGAGCTTCCTCTTCCTCAGCTCCATCATGGAGCTCTGCAGCTGCTCGATGACCTCGTCGTCGCTGAAGTAAAACGTCTGAGCGATTCTCTCCTGCAGAAACTCTCTAAGCTCCTCCAGAGACATCTTCAACATGCGCCCTGCACACACACACACACACACACACCACACACACACACACACCACACAACCACACACACACACACACACACACACACACACACACACACACACACACACACACACACACACACACACACACACACACACACACACACACACACACACACACACACACACACACACACACACACACACTACACACACCACACACACACACACACACACACACACACACACACACACACACACACACACACACACACACACACACACACACACACACACACACACACACACACACACACACACACACACACACACACACACACACACACACACACACATACATAATACTTTTTGACTTATTCTTTAATTCAATGGATGATTATGAAAGTTCCAGTCCTTACTCTTGTGTATCTTCAGGATGGTGTAAGACATGGCGGTGAGCAGCCTCTCTCCCTCCAGGATGAAAATGTCCCAGAGACGAAGAGTTAGCGTGAACGGCGTCTGCAGGAAACACAACAGATCACACACCAACAGATGGAGGAACAGCTTCTATCCAAGAGCTCTCCATCACTCCCACCCCTGTCCAACTAGTAGAGGAGCTAAGGCCCCTAAGAGTTGAGGTACCCCTACCCGAGGGAGAACAAAGCACAACCATGCTTTTTTATTACTTTAATATGTCTAGTTTATGAAACGGATCGTTGTATACAAATATTTTGTGGTGTGGGGAGAGGTGGAGTACAAATACTTTGTTACTGTACTTAAGTACTTTTCTCTGGTATCAGTACTTTACTCCACTACTTATCTTTCTGACGACTTTTTACTTTTACTTCTTACATGTTGAACCCAAATACCTGTACTTTCTACTTCTTACATGTTGAACACAAATACCTGTACTTTCTACTTCTTACATGTTGAACTCAAATACCTGTACTTTCTACTTCTTACATGTTGAACACAAATACCTGTACTTTCTACTTCTCACATGTTGAACCCAAATACCTGTACTTTCTACTTCTTACATGTTGAACACAAATACCTGTACTTTCTACTTCTTACATGTTGAACACAAATACCTGTACTTTCTACTTCTTACATGTTGAACTCAAATAACTGTACTTTCTACTTCTTACATGTTGAACTCAAATACCTGTACTTTCTACTTCTTACATGTTGAACACAAATACCTGTACTTTCTACTTCTTACATGTTGAACTCAAATACCTGTACTTTCTACTTCTCACATGTTGAACTCAAATACCTGTACTTTCTACTTCTTACATGTTGAACTCAAATACCTGTACTTTCTACTTCTTACATGTTGAACCCAAATACCTGTACTTTCTACTTCTCACATGTTGAACTCAAATACCTGTACTTTCTACTTCTTACATGTTGAACCCAAATACCTGTACTTTCTACTTCTTACATGTTGAACCCAAATACCTGTACTTTCTACTTCTTACATGTTGAACCCAAATACCTGTACTTTCTACTTCTTACATGTTGAACCCAAATACCTGTACTTTCTACTTCTTACATGTTGAACACAAATACCTGTACTTTCTACTTCTTACATGTTGAACCCAAATACCTGTACTTTCTACTTCTTACATGTTGAACTCAAATACCTGTACTTTCTACTTCTTACATGTTGAACACAAATACCTGTACTTTCTACTTCTTACATGTTGAACTCAAATACCTGTACTTTCTACTTCTTACATGTTGAACTCAAATACCTGTACTTTCTACTTCTCTCATTTTCCAAACAGCTGGTTCCTTTAGTCTGAATGTGTGTTTGGTGCGTGATCATTATTCTTTAGAGTCATTGCGTGCCTATTGATTTGAACACGATCCGTGTATCCATCATTTCCTGGTCTTCTCTAAAGAAGAGGGACCAATGGAAACGTTGTCATGTTGCCGTTGTTCAGCATGGAAACATTCATTAGCTAACAATGACATTATTGTTCTATTAATATAAAGGGAGGTCAGGTACTCTTTAAAGCAGCTGCTAGTTATGGGTACTGTTTACTTAAGTACATTTCAAAGCCCTCTTTACTTTTACTTGAGTAAAGAAGTTTAGTCAGTACTTCTACTTTTACCAGAGTATGTTTAAACACGAGTATCTGTACTTCTACTTGAGTTAAGGAAGTGTGCACTTTTGCCTTCTCTCTCTCTCTCACTGCCACTTCATTCCCTGTCTTTACGTCAGAGTTTCACATCTGCCTCTTTCTGCTCGTGTCCAGAGTCAGGAGGTTTGTTGGTTTGCTCTCAGACCTCAGAGGCCCCGGGCCCCTCGCAGTAAAGTGCTGACAGCGGCTAAAGCTGCCAAACCACCACCGCAGGATTGTGGATAAGCATGGAGGAGACTAATAGCAGTTCAACTTCACAGCTCTTAAAGCTCTCTTATAAAGTCCCAGAGCTCAAATATCAACGTTTTCTGCTGAAACCATGAAAAGTTATCTTTATAAAAAGGCAATTTTGTTTTGGTAATGACTTGCTGTTGTAAAGAATTATGTTTTCTGTCGATAAAGTTTGACTTACTGTGTAATGTTGACTATTTATTTAGATGATATCCACATTAAAATGACTCCACGGATTTGATTTGGCTAGATTCACAGCGTATAGTATGAGATTGTTTTTTTAGTAAAGAGTCATTCAAAATAAGATATTTAAGGACAGTTTCACACTTTTCTTTTTTTTCTATTCATACACAGAATTCACACACATAGCGGTCTTTACAAACACCTTTAAAGTAACGTTTTTATATACTAATAATTGTATATTTCCGTATAGGATGTTTATTTATTTACTTGGTTTACAATAATTGTGATTATTTATTTATTTGTTTTACTAATATCCTTTTTTTTGACAATGTGAGAATGAATGGGGAAAAAAAAGTTAAATAGCTGTTTTCATGTGTATTTGTCTGTCCTTAAATCAATAATACATACATTGTAAATTGGACATTCAAATGTTACTTTTCTTTAGGTTTCTCCCAAAAGATTCATTTAAACACAAATGTAATGTAAAGGACACTCTTTATCTGATAAAAAGATCAGACTTTGTCCTGTGAATTATGAATTGTTATCTTTGCAATGATAAGATATCTGTCCAAATGTGACTTTACATTTTTAACTGGTGTAGGAGCCAAAATAACACTGTGGGTATAAAGGTAGGAACCGATGTTTGTGGTTAGAGGTTCCGCCGGAAGGCCATACAGTTTTTGACCACACACGAAGAACACACACAGAGGGTGTTTCTCAATCGCGAGTACGCTTGCTTGGTAGGACATGTCTTCCGAGTCACTTCCTTCAGAAGCGAGGCAAGAATCCTTCCTGGCATTCGCAAAACGAAGAGTGGAACAGGCGAGCAAGTGTGCAGGTGTGCGTCATATGAGAGGCCCCGCCTTACATGTTCCGCCACACAGGTTTGGGGAAATTGGTCTGTGCGCAAAGCATTGTGGGGATTTTAAGGACACGAAGTCTACCCATGTGCAGCCTCGAAATTTCCCCCAAACTAAGGACGTGGCCTCGGTGGAATTCCAAGTATGCTGGACATTGGAACGGTCCTGCTGCGCCACTTGATGACGTAGCATCCTTGAAATATTGGCATGAAAGCCAGTTTCCTCAAGATTGAGAAACGGCCGGGGTGTTTCTCAATGTCGCAGTGGCGAGCCGTGACTTTTATACCTAGGCCCTCTGACCCCCACCCCTTCCCTCGAGTTATTACGTCACAGCGTATACTTCAGCGGAATATCAAAACAACGGCCCGGGGTGCAAAACGCATCAATGAAAGCGACCCTCTACCACACAAAACAACACCTGTAAATAACCCTATTTGTGTTCTTTTAAATTGAAAAGGATATTGCTCTGTTTTTGTTACTTTCGTTGCAGTTGTATGTCTTAAGTGTAATAATATATGGCATGCTTTTATTTTGAAGGCGAGTTAACGCTATTGACAGGAAGTTGTTCACAGCGGGCGGAACTTGTCATAAAGTCCGCGATAATAAAGCTCACCCATTTAGAGGGAAGATATGATTGGTCAGTTGTACTGTCATTTGACATTACTCTCTCGTTCAGTTACTATAGCGGCCCCTCTGTGAATTCATAGCTGGACCACCTGGACGTCCAACAGCTCCTCTCTTCACTCGCAGAGACGAGCTTCTTTCATTTCACTCTTCACATTCCAACAGAAACTGAATAGACAGATTCGAAGGATTTGTTTCTTTGGAAATGTTATTTTAAATACAATTAAATCAAGTTATTTTGGTAAAACTAATGAAAAATATAACAAAAAAATAAAAATATATAATTAAATATATTATTATTTTTTTTTTTTTAATGTTTTTAAATATTATTTTGTAGAATATCTTAGGCCCTCACAGAGGGCCTTCCTCGCCACTGCAATGTCGAGGAAAGCTGCTCCAGAGCCACTATTTCAAGGATGCTACGTCATCGAGTGCCGCCGAAGGACTGTTCCAATGTCCAGGATGCTTGGAATTCTACCGAGGCCAGCGTCCTTCATTGCGGGAAATGTCGAGGCTGCACATGTGTATCCTCCGCGGTCTTAAAATCCCCACAATGCTTTGCGCACGGACCAATTTCCCCAAATCTTTGGTGGAAATCGTGTTCCATTTAAGGCGGGGCCTCGCATATGACGCACACCTATTAGCTTGTTCCACCATTCTTCGTTTTCCGAGGCTAGGAAGGATTCTTGCCTCGTTTCTGAAGGACCTGACTCGGAGGGACTTGTCCTACCAAGGAAGCGTCCTTGACATTGAGAAACACCCACGGAGAACACACACACACACGTAGAACACACACACACATTTTCTAAAGGTATTGTGTGAACCGTTAATATCGTGTATGGTGAATGAGAAAACGAAGCAAGTTCAATGGACACCAGTGAAAAGGAAATAAATGGACTGTATTTAACTGGAAACTTTGCATCAGACTTTTATTCTACTGGCAAACTTTGTGTGCGTCCATTACGCCAACATAGCAGATCCTCAGAGGCTTAAAGCGTTGACTTAGCCTCTACAACTACAGTACAATAATTGAGTTTCTGACCCTGTCGATGAAGCACTGCAGGAACCACTTTGTGCTGTAGATCCCCGCAGACATCTGCTCCCTGTCCTGCAGACGGAGAGAGAATCACATTAATATCACAACCCCAACACCAAGCCCACACACTCTGTCAATGAGTGCTAATGTGGCTGTATCAATACAACGTGATGTATTGACACATCTGACATCTTGTTGCTGTGTCTTCTATGTTTTTGTGTCAGTGAGATCTCACCAGATGTTTCTTCAGCTTGGGGATGAGTTTGGAAATGACCTGATCGTGATGAGTCTGAAACCGCTGCAGTTTGGGGAAACCCGGGACAAAAAACCCTGACGACGAAAGAGAGGAGAGAGGCCTTTCTTGGTCACGCTTCAGATTCAAACATCGTCATTGGCATACAGTCGAAGTATTGCCAAAGCATTTCAGGAATATTGATGAAAACAGTAAACATCTCTACATGTACATTCTGAATACTGTTAGCTATTGGTTTTGGAACAATAGCAGATTTAACAAACATTTCAAAAATATGCTTTAAAGGAATTATAATTACTATGATTTTAAGTCAACAAAAACAATACAAAAATAACCGCTTACTTGAACTTCTTATATTTATATGAGTATCAATTCAATTTTTCTAATTTATGTTTTATTGTTTGTTATTCTTAAATGGAGCGACTATCACAAAACCCAATGTCCTCCGCTGGGATATATAAAGTATTCTAATTCTGAATAAGATCAAAATAATAAACTCAAAATCCTGTCACAGTTCCTTTAGAGCGAAATAAGTCCAACATTTATTTCCTTTTTCTGAACATTTCACCTTAAAACAGATGCATGAGTCAGATTGGATGTTCCTGTGAAGCTTGCTGCTGTTTCTCACATACACAGTGTGTGTGTGTGCGTGTGTGTGTGTGTGTGTGTGTATGTGTGTGTGTGTGTGTGTGTTCTCACCGTGCATGCCGTGTGTGTGGTGTGTCAGCAGCTGCGACAGCGCCCAGAAGGCGTCCTCCTCGTTCAGGAACATCAGCAGCAGAGCGGCGATCTGACTCATCCCCTGACAGTAGCTCACCTCCTGCAGGACACAAATAAACAACAACAACAACAACAAGGGGGAGTCAGCCGAGGAAATATCCAACGTAGAAAGCTTTACATTTCCTTTTTTGTCAGCGAACAACTCAAAGATATTCTCAATGATATGATACCACAAGGAGAAAAGCAGAACATCTACATTTGGGTGCATTTTGTGAAATCCCTGAATGAAAAAACACGATTAAATGTTTATCACAAAACTTTACGACTAATCGATAAATCCACTAATCGTGGCTTTAATAAAACAGCTAACAACATTAATTAGTTTCAAGAGCAAAGCATTTCAAAATATGTGCACATTGTTAGAGAACAGAAAACACAAGTTTCACTTGTAGCTCTGAAGCAGTCATCATGAGAATAATAAATATCACAGAGGCTCTTTCTCTTAAAGTCCTTTAATGGCTGAATATAAACGAGGCGTGTATTCAAACAAAAAGTGGATTATCCTGCATGCTGTGCAGATCGTTGCCAGAGTAGACTAAGAAGATGCTAACGTTAGCGACACACAGGATGGGCTGTTGTGTTTGATTAAAACTAGCATTCTTTAAGGGGCAGCTTCGTCTAAAAGCACTTCCATTTCAAGTGTTTGACCCAAAAAACGATTGAAGTCTATACGATACGATACGATACGATAATACTTTATTTGTCAGATCAAGTCTGAAATTTGACTTGCGTCACAGCAGCTCCATGTCCAACATCAACAGACAAGCATCCAGACACAATACATGAAACACAAACAACACACATTTAACATAACAGCTCAATCAGTGAGAGAAAAGCTGCTCAAAGAGCCTTCAGCGTGCATTTGATCTGGGATCAGCTCTGTGTTTACTGTGAGGATTGACTGGAGCACAAAGGATGCTTCAGTCTGACTTTGGATACATTTGGATACATGAAGTTACTTACTGTGTTGTAGACGGAGTATGCAGAGAGGACGCTGAAGAGAGCCTGCTGCCTGCACACAGGAACAAGAGGAAGTTAAAGAACCTCTCTATGAATGATGTGACTAAACATCTATTAATAGCCACCATAGAGTAAGTCGGCCGTAAGAGGTGTTACCTTCAATGAGAGACAGTTTTAAACATACATATTATTGTTAAAGATGATAATGGCGAACCCAGAAAGGGAAATACAGATAATAGGATCCAAACAAACAAACAGAGTGAGACTCCTAAGATAAGAAGGAAATGAAACAGGCAAGCTACGACAGAATAACAAAAACGAACAAATGTATTTTTTTACAGATGAAATACATTTTAAAGAAGACAAAAAAATATATAAAATATAAAGAAAACAGACAAAACTGAACACAAATGTAAGGTCTCCTATTATACTCTTTTTCAACAATATGATATAATAAAAACACAATGATTGACATTCGGGTGATAATGATATCTAAAAGACATGAAAAAGTGACCTTTGAATACACAAACAAAGTAGAATAAAGAACATAGGTTTCCAAGAATACATCACAACAAATAGATACACCTTAACAGAGACCAGCCTTCCTGCAGGTCCGCTGAACTCCTGGTGAATATCTGAGTGTTTCAGTTTTCCACTGAGCCGGCCTGTGGTGAGTTAAACTGCCGGTGACTTCCCTGAGTGACGGATCAGGTTCCCCAACACCCCCCCTCAAATAAAGACTCATGTTACTGCGGGGTCGCTACACTACACATGTGCAACACGTTCTAAATCTAAACTGTGGTTAGGAGCATGATGGGTACAGGAATGTTAAGAGACATGGAGACTGTAGTTTGTTCTTCAGGGCTTTTAGATTCAATTGTAATCTTTCAATATGTGTTCATGTGCAATCGCAGCTGTAATAGAGAGGAGCAGTGATGACATATTTCCTAGTGGACCCTGAAGGCAGCATATCCCATGTTCCCGGCACAAAAAGCCAATGGGATTTTCCCATTTCACCCATAAAGTGAGTGCTGCTCCGCCTGAGAAGAAAAGGTTACAGATGCAGATTCTGACTGAAATGTGTTGTTATCTCTGAGACCCACTTGACTCCGAAGCGATCCATGAACATCACGTGGTTTCTGAAGGTGCGGTTGATGTCCAGGTCGATCTGTTTGATCTCAGCCGAGCACAGCAACGCCTGCGCCTTCATCTTCTACAAGAGACAACCAAAAATAATTTGATAGATTCAAATAAATACCTGATCTGATTTTAATGACAGGTTTAAGTTTTCAGATAATACATCTTTTATCATTATCCATTTTAATTATAGAATAAGCTGACTATTATTTTCTGGTTGATTTACAAGTAACTAAAAAGCATTTTTGACGAATATTTGTATTGGTATTTCGTTTTTTCAGCATAAGACATTGTACAAGTATATATCCCATAAAGGAAAATCAAAAACAAAATAATACAAGAAAATACAAGAAAGAAAGAAAAATAATAAAAAGAAAGACATATATACACATATATATATATATATACACGTAAGTGGACATGTGGTAAATATTGTAATTTAAACATTGCAAGTTACAAGGCCGGCAGACAAGCAGCCATATCACATCCAACCATTATAGAGGACAATTAGGAGGCACATTTATTTCCAGAAACTCCAAGAATTCCCCCCATATTTGATGGAACACTTCAGGCTTTCCCTTTATAGCAAATATCAATTTTTCTAAGGCTAGACAACGAGAGAGATTTTTTAACCAGTGATTGATCGAGGGGTTTTCTGGGTTTTTCCAAAAGACAGCTATTGTGTGTTTAGCTTGGAGTTATCTCATATCTACATCAATGGATATGAATTTTAAACAACCGAGGTTGACTTATAATTCTATCAAATTCATTACAGATGTTATTGTTTTATTTTTATTCGTGTAACTTGTTTTTATATTTTGTAATTTTCTTATAAACTTTCAAATATTTTGGAATGTAAACGTTTTTTTTTGCATTTGTGGAAAGTGTTTTAAATTAACTGATTAGATATTTACACATGTATTGTCGAAGTAAACAGTGTAACATTGACACAAATGTACCTCCATAAAGTGTGTACGGTATGTGTGTGTGACTGTATGTTAGTCTGGACCCCAGGAGGAATAGCCAATGCCAATAGTTTAAACACAAGACTCTTGTTAGACACATGTCCTCCATCTTCTCTGTTTTGCATGATATCTAAACTCCTCTCACACACTTCCTGCTAACATCAATAACATGATGTTATTAAAGTCCACACACACCTCGTATTTCCCCTCGTTCTCCTTCTTCTGCCGCTCCACGTCCAGCATCAGCGCCCAGGCTCGGCCTCTCAGCTGCAGCGGGACGCCTTTATACACCCGCTGCACCATCTGAGACATCGTACACACAAAGAGAATCTCAAATGAATAAACAGACGGTGTCGATATCTGAATCTGCGGAGAGTCACAGGAAAGATTATACGACCGAATCCACAGGAACAAAAAACATTTAATTTTGAAACTATTTCACTGAGCATAAAGATTAGTAGGTTTGTGTGTGTGTGTGTGTGTGTGTGTGTGTGTGTGTGTGTGTGTGTGTGTGTGTGTGTGTGTGTGTGGGTGTGTGTGTGTGTGTGTGTGTGTGTGGCCTAGCATTACTATACTTGTGGGGACCTACATCTGTCTACACAGTCACGTGTGGGCACTCGCCTCCCTTATGGGGACAAAATGGAGGTCCCCATGAGGGGAATCATTAATTTTAGGGTGAAGACTTGGTTAGGGTTAGGGTAAGGTTAAGGGTAAGGGTTAGGGATAGGGTTAGGGTTAGGGTTAGGCATGTGTTGGTTATGGTTAAGGTTAGGATAAGTCTCCAGGAAATGCATGTAAGTCAATGTAATGTCCACTGAAGTGATGTAAACATGGTATGTGTGTGTGTGTGTTTAGAAATAGTAACTGCTCAGATTAAAAATATAACATTTTTGGCCGCTTTTACTGGCTGCAAAAGCGTGGAAATGGTTCATTTAAATCCTCTGACAATACTCAAATGAGTACTTTCATTTTATTATTGTTTCCACAGTTACCATTTGTCTCCATCGTTGAGCGACAAAGTGTTTATACCCAGAGACAGAGCTTCAGCTGTACAGTAAGGATGGAAATGTGCACATGCACACAAACTACACACACCCTGGACTGTACACAGAGAGATGAAATAGATAGAAGGAAAAACCAATGGCTGTATCTGTCCTTGTAAGCTTTGTATAGGTTTGTAAATGTTGTAAATTAGGTTTTCCTTCTCCAAATATCTCCTAGTTTCATATTTTACGAGTGACGTTACAAAAGGCAAGCCTCAGTTAAGTGTAATTTGACTGTTGACACAGCTGTGGTGAGCAAATGGAAACACGAAAACACTTTACATACTTGTCAGCAATTATGTGCACTTTCCAAGAAAATGATGGTGTGTGTGTGTGTGTGTGTGTGTGTGTGTGTGTGTGTGTTGTTCCTCACCCTGTCACTGTTCTTGTATTTGTCCCACTTCTTCACCATCTTCAGCCACTTCTCCACCCTCTCGATCTCCAGCTGCTTCCTCTGAGATGGAGACAGAAACAGGTTTTTTCACTCAACAATACTAATGCAGGTGTTATGGGTGTAACAGCTAATGTAATTATAATGTCACTTATCAGATTAACTAGGGTTAGATCAACTCAAAATAAATTAGTTTAATTGGAGGGCCGCCGTTTGCTTGACTTTCCTCCTTTTCTTCTAACTGCAAAAACTTCTGTGGGACTCACGTCGAAGTCCATTCTTTGGTGTGTCTTTGTATTCAGAGAGAATTCAGAACGTACCCTGTTGTCAGGAAACTTGCATTTAATTATAACGGCAAAATATGTGCAACGGCAGTGAATTATTCCCCATTTTCAGTAAGGACGGGTTTGGAAAGATAGCGTGCGAGCTAGCTGTCAAGCTAGGAAGCTGTGTTTATCATTTTAGACGTGACTGTCAATATAGAGTGGTGCTGAGATGACGTTTAGTTGTCTCCTTTAGACACTTGTTGGACACCTGGTTTTAAATTCACCAGTGGGGTATTTACTGATGTATTTTATGTCGTAGAACAAAACGTTAAAATCTCTTTATTCAAGCTAACAACACATTCAAAAACCACTAACTCCAGACCAGGGGACAGGAAGTGATACAATTCTGACTTATTTAGGGTTTTAGGACTCATTCCTGCACCACTCTGTTGCACCTGACACCTGATCCCCTCCTTTACCTTTTCCTCGTGTGCCGTCGGGGCCGGCAGCTCGTCTTCACTGAAACAGAGTAAGAACCGTCAGAGACTCACAGGGAGCTGCTGTCTGCATGTGAGCAGAATACAAATCACCGACTTACTGCATGAAGCCGAAGCGGTCGATGACTTTGTAGATGCTGAAGTCGGGATCTTCCCAGGGGTCGATCTGCACCCCGCCCTGCCTGCCCTGCACACACACACACACACACACACACACACACACACACACACACACACACACACACACACACACACACACACACACACACACACACACACACACACACACACACACACACACACACACACACACACACACACACACACACACACACACACACACACACACACACACACACACACACACACACCCAGATTTACATTTACTTTAACAAATACATTTGGGGCCATTTTTAAAGCATTTATGGAGTTGTGTTTCTGTCTCTACTGGGACATGTCTCCATGCTTTAATGTTCAGAAAGCTCTATATTGTTCTCATACTGCCTGTGCTGCAGCACCTATTTTCACCCTCTGTCCGAAACCAGAGCCCAGTCTGCTCTGATTGGTTAGCTGGCCGGCTCTGTTGTGAATGGTCAACCACTTAGAGATGTCACGTACAATGTGTTGGAGCGCTAGCCAATAGAATAGCGAGTGTTACATAGTGATGTACTATGTTCAGGATGTAAACAAAGGAGAGGCGTTTCAGGCAGGGGGGGGGGGGACTTTGAGATGTTAGCCTTTACAGTCCATTTGCACAGAAACATATATAACACAGTACAGGAAAGGGAAAACCCCCAAAAGCACAATGTGGCCTCTCTAATTGCATTTCACACACACGCTTGCAGTGACAGCTTGCACTAAAAGCTTTAAACACATGTATAAGTCGCCCAGCTCTCTCCAGTCCAACCCAAACACACAGAACCTGCATGACTCAGCACAAAGTTCAGGAGTAATGTTTGTATGACGGAAAATCCATTCAGACTCCACTCCGGTCTCAGTGTTGATACAACGGAGCAGAGCTGATCCACAGAGAGGCTTCTCACTCTGCAGGAATAATAACGCTGCTGAGGGATTGGCTGACTTCCAGACAGGCAGCCAATCAGAAGCCTCCTCTCAGCGTGGAAAAGGAAGGGGGGGAGGGGGTGAGTCTGCACCGAGAGTGATGTCAGCGTCAGGAAAGTGAGACGGCTAAAAATACTTCCTCACTGAGTTGAGTGTGTGCGTGTGAATGTGCGTGTGTGTGTGTGTGCGCGTGTGTGTGTGTGTGGTGTGTGTGTGTGTGTGTGTGTGTGTGTGTGTGTGTGTGTGTGTGTGTGTGTGTGTGTGTGTGTGTGTGTGTGTGTGTGTCAGAGTGATAAAGGAGGAGATCAGAGACGCTTTAATGTGACTCTGGCATGCGATTTAATATTACTGAATTCAAAAGTAGGATTTAATGAATTCATTGATTTAAAAGACATTAGAAGAAACATATTTTCATGTTTATGGAATTGACGCTCGGTTTGAAGCCTCTAAAAAGATATGCACTAAAACCTGTATTTTGTCAATATCTTCCACATTTAGTGAGAACACCTTAAATGCAATATGTACATTTCCCACCATTTTGTAAGCAAATAGTACTTGCATGTAAAAAGTGCAGGAGTCGCATCTTCTTGTGTTAATATATATATGCATTATATATTTGCAACAATGTTAATTAACCCTTAAATGGTTTCTATATCCCGCGAGATACAACCATTTGACAGAATGTGTCAATGCGTAACATGGGTACAAAAAAGCTGTATCATGGCTCAGTGTGTGTGTGTGTGCGCGTGTGTGTGTGTGTGTGTGTGTGTGTGTGTGTGTGTGTGTGTGTGTGTGTGTGTGTGTGTGTGTGTGTGTGTGTGTGTGTGTGTGTGTGTGTGTGTGTGTGTGTGTGTGTGTGTGTGTGTGTGTGTGTGTGTGTGTGTGTGTGTGTGTGTGTGTGTGTGTGTGTGTGTGTGTGTGTGTGTGTGTGTGTGTGTGTGTGTGTGTGTGTGGCAGATTTTTACCCAGAGTTCTCCCTGGGTCAACAGTGTTCTGCTCTGAGCTCTGTGCATGTGCCGGAAACACAGAAGTCACGATGAGCGGGACCTCAGCCAGAGGCCGGAGGTCGCTGTCAGCTCGATGTCTGGCAGAGTGTGACAGCTCGGACTCGGATAGACGCAGCGACCCCTCCCCCCCCAAAAAAACACTCCTACTATATTTAACCTTTGGCTGCACCGTCTCCATTCCCCATGTTAGAATAGAATATCCTTTATTGTTACTATACAGGTATGTTGGGAAAATACTGAATGTACTCTTCTAATATCAGAGTAGCACACGATAACAAAGGCCCAACGTAGCTGTGTACGAAACCAGATGTATGATGACATAGAAAAAACTCAAAGGAGACGTTTATTTTTTAAGAGGGCGGGGTTAATAGGTTTATCTGCTAAATAATCACCAGGATAATGATTGACTGTATTGCCAGCAATCTACTTATAGTCACAGCAAAATGTATAACTTGCTACATCTCTCAGCCAAACTACTACTCAAGCAGCGTGCGTTATGCCTTCATCAACATACAAACAACAAGCATTCATACTTCAATATGCAGATAAAGTGAAAGTGCAGGAATATATCGGTTTAAGTCAAATAAATGAATGTCTTCGCACCAGCACCTCTCTCTACGTCTACGTATGTATGATGACAATAAAGACATTCTGATTCTGAGCTCATCCAGGCTTTTATTTTGAAACTAAATATAGTTTGTGTCTTTAATGAGACCTGAGCATCCAGGCTTTTATTTTGAAATGTAATACAGGTTGTGTCTTCACCTGAGCATCCAGGCTTTTATTTTGAAATGTAATACAGGTTGTGTCTTCACCTGAGCATCCAGGCTTTTATTTTGAAATGTAATACAGGTTGTGTCTTCACCTGAGCATCCAGGCTTTTATTTTGAAATGTAATACAGGTTGTGTCTTCACCTGAGCATCCAGGCTTTTATTTTGAAATGTAATACAGGTTGTGTCTTCACCTGAGCATCCAGGCTTTTATTTTGAAATGTAATACATGTTGTGTCTTCACCTGAGCATCCAGGCTTTTATTTTGAAATGTAATACAGGTTGTGTCTTCACCTGAGCATCCAGGCTTTTATTTTGAAATGTAATACAGGTTGTGTCTTCACCTGAGCATCCAGGCTTTTATTTTGAAATGTAATACAGGTTGTGTCTTCACCTGAGCATCCAGGCTTTTATTTTGAAATGTAATACAGGTTGTGTCTTCACCTGAGCATCCAGGCTTTTATTTGAAATGTAATACAGGTTGTGTCTTCACCTGAGCATCCAGGCTTTTATTTTGAAATGTAATACAGGTTGTGTCTTCACCTGAGCATCCAGGCTTTTATTTTGAAATGTAATACAGGTTGTGTCTTCACCTGAGCATCCAGGCTTTTATTTTGAAATGTAATACAGGTTGTGTCTTCACCTGAGCATCCAGGCTTTATTTTTAAATGTTTGATTGACGTTTGAGCGTGTCATGATCTATGAGAACATTAGCAGAGATCATCCAAGCCTTTATTTTGAAGTTTCTGAATGATGTTTGCTTTGTCGATCATGCACAATGATCGGTCACTGCTCGGCAGATTTGGAAAAAACAACTAGAAATGATTAATGTTGAGATGATTTCCGGACTACAGTTAAAATGGCGTTTCAGATGATGTGCTTTCTGTAAAGCAGAGAGGACATGAGAGTCCTGACATCCTCTTTAGTGTGCTTCGATACAGGTGGAAGTGAGCCAGGTACAAGTATTCAGACAAAATGGCTGGTGCATCGGCAAGTATATATATATCTAAAACAGGATGATGTTATTGGATCTCATCGGCATGACATCCAGGTATTGATCATTTAATTGTTAGTTGACTACATTCATACGAAGACTCAGCGAGGAGACTCAAACTGAGACCCAGACGTCTCTTTTTAGTTTTAGTTGTTCTCTTTATGTCTGGTTTCAATGTTGGTTTCAGTGAAAGAGGGATTGAAAACTCTCCATATCAAACCACAGGCAAACATATTATTACACAACGTGTTATTAATGCTCCCACACACACACACACACCCACACACACACATTCTCAGTGTATTCTCCTCCACACATGCACTGAAGCACACACACACACACACACACATTATAAGTGTATCCTCCTCCACACATGCACTGAAGCACACACACACACACACCCACACACACACACACACACACACACACACCACAAAACACACACATCTGAATTTACGCTGTGGTCGTCCTCAGTGTGTCTGTTCAACACAGAAACACAGGAGTGTGAACTCTTCCTCCCACACAACAACACACACACACACACACACACACACACACACACACACACACACACACACACACACACACACACACACACACACACACACACACACACACACACTGCAGCAGGTAGAGTAGCTGAGGCACACATTATCTGGTTGTTTACTAATCAGTATTTGTTTAGTTTCTTTAAATGAATATCAAAATAAGATAACTTTATTTTTCCCAGAGGAAATTGGGTTTCATGAAAGTTACTCCATTATAGAAATAGATCAAATAAAAGCTAAGTAAAAAAATATATGGAATAACATAAGAAATTAAAGTAAAGTGTCCAATACATAATAAAAGAAAAAATACAAATATTTATTTAAACAAAATAACTTAAAGTAAGAAATAAAAAGATTAAATAAAATAGAATAAAGTATGTTTATAAATATAAGAGGTTAAAGTAAGAGTGTGCAGTTTACAAAATATATAAAATAAAATGTAAATTAAAATAAAATGTCAAATATAACTTGATTTCTGAATTTGACAGAAAGGGGTTGGCTGATGGTAAAGTAGGATCTAGTGCCAGAAGAATATACAATATAAATATATCCACCAGATTCTTATCCATCTGGTGTGAATTGAATAAGATCCTGTAGTTTAATAAAATAAAAGACCCTGTTCTCACCGTAGCATATTTCGAGATGATGTCAGCACGTTCCTCTGCGATTAGAGTCTCGATGTCTTTCTTCATGTCAATATCTGCAGAGAGAGGAGAGAGCGTGAGCTGCAGAACAACAACTCCACATGACTCAGGAGGAACAGCTGATGGATGTGGGAGGATGAGCTGAGAGAGAGACTGAAGCAGTGACTTCATTACATCTCGGTTATAAAGAGCCGTGTGCAAAATGCAGTCTGTCGCTTAGAAGCCCTTATGATATATGTGCAGGAAACAGAGCTGCAGAAAATCACACGCCGAGAGGTTCAAATACTAATATAATTGTTTTAAAAGATAAACGGCAGCAAGTCAAAAGTCCGGTTTTACTTTATTAACCAGTTTATTTTTTTTGTACCTTCTTACTTTAACTTGTATACATATTTGTATTCTATTTTAATTGATTGGACATTTTAATTTAACTAATATTAAAACATATATAACTTAATTGTATTTTTTTTTATTGCAAATCTTGTTTTTTTATGTTCTTTTTTTAATCTTTAATTTATAATATTTATATAAATATTTTTATTTTATTTTGTACATCTGGACTTTAACTTTTTATGTTTATCTAAAAATATGTATTTATTTTTATTTTTGTATTAGACATATTAACTTTACCTTATGACATGGCTTAGTTGAATACTCGATTCTGATTGGTCAATTCAGAACACGTGACACGTTGTTAATCCAGTAGTACAGACCGCTGTCAATCACTTATTGACCGTTGTTAAGGACGCTCACATCTGCAGAAAGAAGTCCAGTCGATTTAACTGTTTGCTTGTCTTTAGTTTTCCGTTGTCTCCCGTCTGAGAGCAACATGGAGGAGTGTAATATTCATTTGAATATTTTTGGAGAGCACAGTAATTTGGATGAATGGTTAGTGGCTGATGAGTCCCCAGTGAAGAAAATAAAAAGACAAGAGGGACAAGAAAACAGCGGAGAAGTAAGAGAGGCGAAAAAGTATGTTTTTATAAATATGTTCACTTGTTTTGACATTTCTTACTATATGGGACGTACTGAGGAGCACCTGAATGCACCACAACACCAGAGCTGTTTGAATATATATATATAGGTATTCATCCTATATGAATAATAGGGTGCATCAACATGTGGTGATGCGTTCAGGGTCCTGAGTGGGCAGCGTCCGGCAGGTTTGTCCATCAGACAGAAACAGGAGAGAGCTGCAGAAATATAATCGCCCTGAGAAACATAACTTTCCCTCTGACATCATCTCCCGCATGTTGATGGAGATTTGCTGCTTTTATGTCATATTAATGTAAATATGTGGGGGTTTGATCAAAACAAGACATCCAGAGACATCTCCTTGGACTTTGAGAAACGGGTGGATGTTTTCTTTACTATTTGCTGACTTTTCAGAACTTTCTCACATCCTTTCAGATATTTTTCATAAACATTTTCTGACGTATTTTTTAGAAATGTTTCGATGAGACCCTCAGAAAATACTATTCTAAATGGTGTTTCTTAGCCTCTTAAATATGAAGATTTGCTGCTTTTCTGTTTTAAGTAAATATGTTGGGGTTTTGAACTGACAAAACCAGACGTTTACAGACATCAACGTGTAATATGAGAAACTGGGAGGGACATTTTTTAAACTTTCTAACATTTTAGAGACCAAAAATCTCTTTAAAACATCCTTACACTAGCTAAAAGGCTAAAGGCTAAAAATCACAATGCAGTGCAATAAACCGCCTGCATGGCGTGACATGGCACGATGTGAATGATGACAATCCCAGCAGGAGTTGTTGTTGAATCCTCCCAACACAAAGCAGCGAGGGGATTAACCTCGCTTCACCCTAACGCTCCGTACGGATCAACACCGGAGAGGTAATCTGGACACACACTGCATCTGGATTAGGAATATCTGCAGAGCGAGATTACACAACGAGAGTGTGTTGTTCCCGAAGAGGAACAAAGAGATGTGAGGGTCCATCATAATGTGCATGTTCTGTCATCTCAAAGCATGACAGTGCAGCAAGTCCCGTAAAATATAAATAATAATAATAATAAAGCTTTATTTACACTTTTCTTACAACACATGCAGCTCAAAGTGCTTGAAATGACACATCACAAATAAAAAATACACAACAAGAAATTCCCCTTAGATTATTTGTTAAGAACTTTAAAATGTACACGCAGCGAAATGTAACATTTGATCAGGTTAATTACGCAAGGAGGTCAAATGTATGATAATACAAATAAAATAAATAATGCTTTCTCTCTGACAGATAAGACACAAGACAACTGAGTCGATGTGAACATATAGGTACAACAGAAACTAAAAGAAAAAGATAATAGTAGTAAAAATGCCATCATTCTAATAAAGGTTAAACGATTAAGAAATAAAAAAGATTTAAGACCTATAAAATAAATAAAACAACATAAAGGTAGGTAAATAATAAAGACTAAATAATAATGTGTGTTTAATGGTCGACAAGTCAACAAAGAGAATCTGGATTTAGAGCTGTGGCTGGGATGTGCTAAATGTTTTTATAATGACTCTCACTGCCTGAACGTATCACAGGTCAGACTGCAAGGCTAACTATAGGGTGCTAAGGATCATTCTAATTTAAGTTATGAGAGCAACCAACTTGGAAATAGCTAGCTTAGAAGCTAAACTATAATAATAATTAATAATTCCTTACATTTATTATAGCGCTTTTTCAATGACTCAAAGCGCTTTACATATACACACATTACACTTATATCATACATGCAATGGTCAGATACTGTGGACAATACCCACAGGAGCAAGTTCAGGTGAAGTGTCTTGCCCAAGGACACACTATGTTAGCTATAGGCAGATAGATAATAGCTTAAAATACAAAGGTTATGTCAAATTAAATCTCTGACAAAGGTCTTATCTCATTACAGAATTTGAAAGTGTGTTTAAGTTTACATTTCCATTAAATAAATGACTGATATCTTGTGTTTTTATCTCAATGTATTTTAACCACTAGCAGAGGAATGTATCTGTAAAGCTAAAGATTTCTACATCTATACGTTTCTATACTGAATAGTGACAGCAGACAAACAAATATACTTTTTATTACAGGATGCGCAGTTTACTGTTAACTCATATTTGTATACAACTGGTCACCACTGATGGCAACCACATGCAGAGAATTGGTTCCAAATGGATCAAAAATCATATTAAACTCAAGTCTTAATCTGTGTCATATTCAGTTTTGAAGCACGATACTAGATTGTTCCATGAATACTCAGTACATCAAAGCACTGTGATGCTTAAAAACAAGAGAAATGGTATCTATGAATTCACCCTTTCTCATGCTTGGTCCCGGACTGAGTGTCTCGATGTGGGTTAACGCTAGGTGAATAATTCAGTAAGGTGCAGAGATGGAGGTCAGTGACACCGTTAAAGAAAGAGAGGACGATGGCTTTACTCTACGAAAACTCAAAATCTTGCCAAGTATATTTGTCTAATATCTAGTCAGAATATGTCTTGAGACTTGCTATAAGACACACCAACTTCAGAAGTAACACTGCACTGAGATGTCGGGTCTTGTTTTTAGACAATACAATTGTTTGTTAAGTCAAAAAATCCTATTTTGAGTTGTATCTCAGATGAAACACATTATTTTACATATCTATTAGAAAATCACCAACTTACATAACAGACATAACATTTGCGGCTTATATTGTAACAACATTTCCTGATTCTGGTTAAATATAGTTCAAAATGAGTTCTCCCAGCTGATTACAAGATCTGATTTATCTAAATATCCCTTCTTATTTCAATTCTCTTACCAAGCACATTTTCACTTGTTCTATTGGCAGATTTTTTTACTTATTTCAAGTGAAAACGGCTTGTTTTCATTATTGTTTCACTTGTTTTTGGAGCTGCATTTTTCCCAGTGTAGTCCGCTGCTGGGATGCAAATCTTTGTATTTAAAACAGAAGATATTATCTGTTCTTCTGCAGGGCTGCAACTGATGGTTTATTTCACTAAGGATTCATCTGCTGAAGTCAGAAAATGAACAGAAATGTCCAGGACTAGTTCCCAGAGCTCAAAGTGACGTCTTCAAATGTCTGAACGAGACTTAAAAACACAAAGATATCCAGCTTGTAAAACACACATTTGTTTTAAATGTTAAAGCACCTCACTCTCTACAGAAAGTCCAACACTCCAGTCCCAGTGATGGGAAAATACACACTGAACAAAAATATAAACGCAACACTTTTGTTTTTGCTCCCATTTTTCATGAGATGAACTCAAATATCTAAAACATTTTCTATTTACACAAAATAACCATTTCTCTCAAATATTGTTCACAAATCTGAAAAGATCTGTGATAGTGAGCACTTCTCCTTTGCCGAGATAATCCCTCCCACCTCACAGGTGTGGCATATCAAGATGCTGATTAGACAGCATGATTATTGCACAGGTGTGCCTTAGGCTGGCCACAATAAAAGGCCACTCTGAAACGTGCAGTTTTGCTTTATTGGGGGGGTCCGAAAACCAGTCAGTATCTGGTGTGAGGGTTAGGTTGTGAATCGAGTGGCCTGTGTTCGTCGTCCATAACATACGCCTGCCCATACCATAACCCCATCACCACCATGGGCCACTCGATTCACAACATTACCCTAACCCTAACCCTACCCCTACCCTGAGGTGGGATGGATTATCTCGGCAAAGGAGAAGTGCTCACTATCACAGATTTGTGAACAATATTTGAGAGAAATGGTTATTTTGTGTATATAGAAATGTTTTAGATCTTTGAGTTCATCTCATGAAAAATGGGAGCAAAAACAAAAGTGTTGCATTTATATTTTTGTTCAGTGTATATCCTGATAAACAAAATCACTCGATAAGTTAAAATTGAGGAATAGTAGTAAATAACCTCATGAGTGATATGGAGTCTGCTTTTCACTATAAAAAAGGTATGTCCTATCTGAGATGTAATACATCATACATTGAATGTAAGGATGTCAGATTGTGCCTTTTCACTGGAGAGCGTGTGTGATCTAAATGCTGTGTTTAAGAGACATTTCCCCTTTAAGTTATGATGATTTATTCTCTATCGTCAGACTACCGATGGGTCAATACAAACCCAGCATTTGGATCTTGACTCTTGAGACACTAACATAACGTTTAAATTCCTTCAGGCCAAGATTGAATCCATCATGAATGTGGGGAAAGTGAAACTCCATCAGTGTTTTAGAGCTTCTTGCAGCTTCTTTGAGGTTCATACAGAAAGGTTACAGCAGTTTAAATATGAGCTGTCATCTGAAGCGTATGGCAGCGGCTGCATGTGGTCAGTCTGTAAATCACTGGGGGGGAGAAGGGGGGAGAAGGGACTGAAATTACAAACTACATCACACAGTGGAAACTTGGGATTGTTTGAGATGTTACATGTGGGAAAAATGTATTTCATTTTCCCATTTTCTGTGAATTTAAAATACTAAAGCTGGAAAAACAGAAGTCAGCTGTAGAGTTTGCTGCTCAGACGCTAAAGTACTTTACATTTTAACAAGGTAAAACAGCTCCAGGATGCTGATTGATTCAACATCATACCATTTCAATCACAGCGTACATTCTTGTTAAAGTTATATTAAGTGTGGCTGCAACGAGTGGTGGATGAAGTATTCAGATCCTTCACTTAGGTAAAAGTATCCAATCCAATCCACTTTATTTATATAGCACATATTAAAAACAGAGGGTTTACCGAAGTGCTTCACAGCCACATAACATTATAATAAAATATAATATTACAATAATAGATAAAAGGCACACATAAGAATAGATAAAAGGCACATAAGGGCTATGGACAGACAAATAAAAGCATAAAAACCGATAAAACAGCTCAAACTGACTCGAAAGCGAGGGAAAAGAGGTGGGTCTTCAGGCGGTACTACAGCAATGCATAAAGCAAGTAAAACTCTGCATGAAAAATCCTACTGAAGCAAAAAGTACATTATGTATTAGCAAAATATATATTAACGTATTGACATTATTAACTGGTATTTTATTTTGTAAAGTCCACTATTGCATGTTTCACTGTTAAAACATGCACAAATCCAATATAAGCTTCCTACTGACTTTATTAGTATGTGTTATAAATACAATTAACCCTGTGTAATCACCAGCAATGCATTTTCTGTTTGTCAATTAGTTCAATAATCAGTCGATTTGGACTCAATAATAAGTCTTTTGGTTTATTTGTAATGCATAATTGTTATTTTACAATCGTAAAGTGGTGCTTTTGCATTATTCTTGTCGTGGACTAACTAGTTACAACACTTATTAAACGTCAGGGACAGCCCTGGTTCTCTGCTGCAGTCAATTCAAAATGTTAAGTGTTAAAAACATAAACAGTGAGAAGTAAATTCAGTGTGTTTGGCAGCAGCTTTTACTGACTACTATTAATATTATTATTATTATTATTAGCCCCTGCATGCTCAGCCTCTTGGTAGATTAGTCAATATTGATGGTTTTGGGTTTAAATCGGGTTTAAATTCATTTGTTGTGCTTTTTCCACGCTGACTGAACGTATTACAGAGAAACATGAACACATCGCTGGTAAACAAAACATTTCGCATGATTCTTTGTGGAGGATTTCATATAATAACAAAGGGGTTGAGTCTACTAGGAAGGTACATCACTACTTATCGGCTCATTTTTGCTGCTGTGAAATAAAATACTAGTTGTTAAATAAATAAATATTGAGAAATAACTTCAGTGTGTTTTGCAGCAGCAGCTTCCCGCAGGCCTGATGCTGCCTTCAGTGCCCCATCAGAGCGACTTACAGCCGGGCAGTGATGGATAAAGGATGCTCCTGCAGACTACTGACACTACAGACACATTTCACCGACATCCAGCGCCTGAAATCACCCCCAAAGAGTCGCTTTCTGACGGTAAACAAACCCCCTAGTCTCCGGTGGGACGAGCCTCGCTGCCGTGATTTCAGACGGAGCTACATCATCACGCAAGAAGACCCGTTTTATTCTAATGAGAATAATAAACAAAAAGCATGAAAAACGTGAAAAATTAAGAGTGTTATTACCGTGTTTCTCGGGTGTATTTCTGCGCTATCCGTGCAGGAACACAGCTCCGGTTCCTCTGGGCATTCTCCGGTGAAAGTGCAGAACAAACCACCCGGGCTGACAACAATAGCCTTCAATCCATATGTTACACACTCTCTCTCTCACACACACACTCTCTCTCACACACTCTCTCTCACACACACACAGTCACTGTATAATAAGACAGAGAAAGCTCCAGGTCCAGGACGCACTGAGCAGGCGCCGCAGCGTGGCACCAGTCAGCCGAATGAGAGCCGTGAAATCCGGCCTTAAAGAAACAGGAGCCCCGGGGGAGGAGAACCAGCCCCCACCCCGACTCTCCTGCTGAAACACGGCCGCTCAGGGGCTCTGTTCTTCCGCCATCTTCCGCCATCTGCTGGAGAGACACCGGTAGTGAAGTGATACAGAAACTCTCCCCTCCAAACATCAGTCAGAATCAGAATCAGGTTTATTACCAGGGTCCTTTCTCATTTCACAAATTTCCCTTCATCGACTCCTCGAATCCTCGATCCTCCGGTAGTGACCAGGGCTGCCAACACTCACGCATTGAGCGTGAGAGTCACACAATTAACCCATATATCACGCACTCACGCCACACTTGCCTTTCCTCACGCTAAGTTTTCGTCCAAAATACATACATAGCCTATACAAATAAAGTGAAGGAACAGCAAACCGAGCGGTCTACGAAATGAGACGGTCTTCTGGCTTAGTTCAGTAAAGTTGGAACGATATTGGGAGATTCTGATTTCACGGATCAATAACTCATTAACAAAACGTTATTCAGACACAAATTTCGTCTCCTAAGTACCGTGGTAAGGTTGACAACGAACTACAATCACATTTTGATTAAAAAAAAAAGCCAATACGTGCCGTCCTACGAGCTGGACACATTACATTGGTCTCTATCTGCAGCCGGAGAAGAAACGAGTGCTCAGGGACCGTCTGCAAAGTGCAACTCCGAAAAAAGAGAATAAAATCATATTCAATCACTATTATACAGATTATTACTACCAAACTCACTACACACATCAATAGTCTCCTGATGCTCATACTAGCCTACAGCAGGGAGATTTTGGAAGAATATGCTGTTGAATAATTTTGGGGAATATTTATAATGTAAAATCTTCAATAAATATGGCATCATCTTCAATAACTTTACTTGTATACAGTATATTTCTACCAAACTCACTATTTGCATTGTTGTTGAACTTGTTAGCATCTGGTTAGCTTAACGGATATTAAAAGTTGTTTCTAAAACAAGGAAAGGGAGAGCTCTGTCCTGTCAGACTGAGAGATAACTACAGCTCAGTGAGGTAAGGGACTCTCTGTTTAGATAGTTAACTTTAGTCTAGTTATCTCAGTGGGTCTCAAACGTTTTGGTCACCATTTATGAGAATAAATGAAAAACAGTTATGAAATACTATGACAGTAAAACAAGAATACAGTTTAAAAGAGTGATTTGTAAAATATCCATAAAGAAAAAGAAAACCTTCCCGGACCCCCCTAGAGGAGGTGAGGACCCCCCCCCCCCCCCCCCCCCCCCCCCCACTTATAAAATAGCACTCTGCTTACTTATATGCCATTTTATATGCTGTGAACTGATTATCGAGCCTTCATTGTAAGAGTACACTGTGTATGTGTGTATTCCACTGTAGCGCCCGGTACATTAATGGGAAACCCTAGTTTGTCCATGTTCAATACATTTGTAACACTGTGAACATGAACGTTTCTTTTTTCGGTTCACCAAAAAAAAAATCTCCCTTCAAGCTGAACTCAAATGTTGGCAGCCCAGTGACCCGGAAATGGATTTCAGCGCGCCATGTCGAAGGACATCTAATTTCTCTAAATGCACTTCGAGGACCGAGGATCGAGCATCGAGGAGGCTCTCTGGAGGAGCTATAACCGAGGATACACTGATGAGTCCTCCGCGCCAGTCCGCGGAGGATGTATTTCCGGCAACAGAGATGTTTAAAAGCGTCGTGACGCACGCCCGGACTTATCTCAGCCAATGACAGCTCTGCATGCATCCCCTGGATATTATTGTATTAACTGCTTTCATCGAGACGCCATGTTTCCAGTGAGAACTGCTGTGAGGTCCGTGCAGAAAGCAGAGCAGTGTGTATAATATATATCACTCAGTATAACAGGCCTACTCTCTTTATTTGTATGCTGTGGTTTAGTAGATATCTACAAACAAAGAGTCAATATTTTTCTAAAACCATTTAGTGCTTCACATAATAAAATACACAACGGCTGTATCCTGTTATATGCTTTAGGAGCTGTAGGTGCGTGTGGTACAGTGTGTGTGTATGTGCAGGGCCGGCCCTTGGCATAGGCAGTATAGGCGAATGCTAAGGACGCATCAACCCATCGGGGGCGACGAAAATTGGGGAGAAAAGAAAAAAAAAGTTAGAAATTAAACAAATATTTGTATTTAAAGGTAGGATAGCCTATGTAAGTTTGAGAAACCGGCTCGAGATACACTTGTTGTTATATTCCATGCTGCTCTTAACATCCCGATAGCAATGAATATCTTAAGTGCTTTGACAAAAAATCCATTAAAAAATGTCATCTGTGGAAGCCGTGGTGCTGTAAAAAGCACGACCAATCATTTTAGTCGGCCCGGCTAAAATAACTGGATTCCATCTGTGCACAAACTTATCTCGTGCCCTCATTGGTCATGTGCGCGTTCGTGTGTGTTGGAGGAGGGGCTCTGTAAGGAAGTGGCAGATTTTCTCCGGTCAGGTATTTTCAAATTTAGCGATCTCGAGCCGGTTTCTCAAACTTACCTACCCTACCTTTAAATTGCATAACAAAACCATTTACTGATTTTGGATCAACAAAGTACATCTTATTGTCTTATACTAACAGAACTACGCCTATATTGCGTACAGCGCCCATAAACTATGGCGCACGTCTCCCCCCCCCCAATCAAGTTGAACAGCCCCAGCCCCAGTAAAAACCAGAGGTTTATGTGGAATCAGAGGTTGCGCTAGACTTTTTCACTGCCCGACGGACAGGATCGTAACATTTCCGTCAAAATTCAGCAGTATTACCCGTCAGCCTTTACACTCTGGGGGGGGGGGGGGGGGGGGGAGGAGAGAGAGAGAGAACTGTCAACCGGGGGGGGGGGGGGGGGGGGAGCACGGTCGTGAACTGTCAACGGGGGGCGGGGCGCACGCTTGTGAACTGTTAGCGCCGTGTTATGCATGCCCACTGCACCTCGCGGGAGTGCGCACAGCGTAAAGCCAAAACTCACAGACATTTCAATGATTTGGGTTTGGAAACGGTATCATTTCCTTTTTGGCAGGCATGCTTCACACCGGAGCCTCGCTGCGGGGAAACTTTGGCGCTGTTCCGAGTTTGTTCTAATCCGTCAAAATGACGGACTGCTTTCAGATTTTTCCGTCATTGTTAAAAAAAATCCGTCATAGACGGAAAATATTCGGTTAACGCGACCTCTGTGTGGAATAGTTCTTTTTTTGAAATAATGGTTTTAGTGTGCAATTATAGGTTTTAATTTTGTATTTGTGTTAATTTAAAATAAATCGAACTCCCAGAAATCGTATACAGCTTTTATTAACATTGGAATTTACTGTGTAAGCGGCCGCGGGGGGAGAGCTTTATGGCGCATTTCCACTACAGCGCGGAGCTCGCTTTAAGCGTGCCGTACCGTGCCCGGCCAGTTTTTGGTTGCGTTTCCACTTGGCGTAGTTCCGGCTAGCGGGTCCTATTTCACAGTTGTTCTGGCCCCATAAAATCGAGGTTCTTTCCGGGCCAACAACCAGGCTGAGTCGGGCTGAGTATGCTAAACTAGAGAGAGAATCGCTGGCTAACCGCCTGCCGTTCTCATTCATAACACTCCGTTCGATGTCTCACTATGGGATGCGCCTCAACGCGTATGCAAACAGAAGCATCAATCTCATTACGCCAATCCTGATTGGCTGGTGATCTTGACGTCTACGTCAGGGAATCCACCCACCCTTTAACGGCCCCTACACACCGCGGCGTGCGTTGCCGTTTCAACGCTTCTGCCCATTCACTTTGAATGGGGTGACGTCACGATTCGCCGAACTGCATTGTGGGAGCAAAGCGTAGCTTCTCTCGCTGCAAAAGTAGAGCAATGTTCTACTTTTGCCGCCTCGATGGAGGCGTCAGCCAATCAAATCCCGCGTATGCAAATCTGACAGTACAAGCGCTAGCCAATCAAACCGTTTGTATGTTGGGAGAGCCAGACCGCAGTTATTTATTATTTTATTATTTATTTTCTTATCAAGCTCCACATTTGTGGAATCAGCTTCCAGTTTGTGTTCGTGCGGCAGACACCCTATCCGTTTTTAAGAGTGCGCTTAAGACCTTCCTTTTTGATAAAGCTTATAGTTAGGGCTGATTAGATCCAGCCCCTAGTTTTGCTGATATAGGCTTAGTTTGTCGGGGGACATCTTACTTCTTCCTTCTCTCTGTCTATACCTGTGTACTCTCATGTTCCGATTAACCCAGCTTCCCCAAATGTCTTTCTTTTTGGTGTCTATATACGCCGGGATCCGGAGTCATGGATGATCCTGCGCTCCTCTGTCCTGGATCGCGAGCCCTGGATCTTGAGTCGTGGCTGTGGTCCTGGATCATAGGTCCTGGATGGATATCCTCGTGGATTCATCTTCCTATTATACACACATGCATTTCCAAACATTTGGACTACCTATGTTGCAAATGTATTATCTTTTCAATTTACACACGGCATCTATTGCACGTCTGTCCGTCCTGGGAGAGGGATCCCTCCTCTGTTGCTCTCCCTGAGGTTTCTCCCATTTTTCCCTTTAAACTGTGGGTTTTCTCCGGAAGTTTTTCCTTGTACGATGTGAGGGTCTAAGGACAGAGGGTGTCGTATTGTCATACTGATATTTTGTACAAACTGTAAAGTCCACTGAGACAAATGTAACATTTGTGATATTGGGCTGTATAAATAAACATTGATTGATTGATTGATTTCCCATATGTCAAAAAATGGAGGAGAAAATGACGGGCGGGAGGGAATCACCCGGTACTATATGACCAGTCCCTCTTTACATACAGGGATACAAACCGGAGGAGCCAGGCATGGGGGGAGGTGGCAGAGACAGTGGGTGAAACTGGTAGGTTTTCGCCTGTTTGGGGAGTTGATATCCAGTGTACTTCGTTTGAATGGACAGCTAGCAAGCATAGACAGTATATTTAGCCAGCATGGATGTAGCATGAATGCTTTGCTTTGTATGTCCGGGGCGGGACATTCATGTGATTGGTTGTTGGTCGCGTT